AGTCATTTTGGATTAGGGGCCCACCCCAATCTGGTATGACCTCATTGTTAATTACATCTGCAATGATCCTATTTCCAAAGAAGGTGGCATTCTGAGGTCCTTGGGATTAGGGAAGGGTTATTCTCAACATGGGAATTTTTAGGGACACAATTCAACCCGTAACACAAGTATATAGAGGAGAAAGCTGAGGAGTGCCTGGGTGGCTCAGTCGGTTAAGTGTCTGCCTTCGGCTCAGGTTATGATCCCAGGGTCCTGGGGTTGAGCCCCACATTGGGCTCCCTGCTCAGTTGGGGAGTCTGCTTCTCCCTCTCCCTCTGCCCCTGTTCCATGTGCTCTCTCACTCACTGTCTCTCTCAAATAAATACATGAAATCTTAGAAAAAAAATTGAAAGCTGTGTACAGCATACACTCCAGAGGTAATTCTCTTCCTCATTCTCAAAGTTAATACCAAGCCAACTTACTCCAATTCCCTCAAGATCTTTTCCTATGCATTTACATTCAAATACAAATGGGCTTTTGGGGGGGTTTTGTGGGACTTTAAAAAATCTTGTGGTTTATCTACCCTACATGGAATCATATTATACACTTTAATTTTCATTTGTTAGGGTGGGGAGAGCCTTTTGTGTCAGATCAGTGCTTCATTTATTAGCTTTGGCCCTGGGGAAGAAGATGGGTTTGGTGAAGCTGCTGGAAACCCCCAAACCCAGCGCCAGGACCCACCCACCCATGGCTGAAATGAGGTGGGGGTGGTCAGCACCACCAGGGGGCGCTGTGCTGGGAAGGCAGTTGGAGGGGCCTGCAGAAGAGGGCAGAAGCTGGTGGCTAGTTGGTTCAGGGATTTATTGCACAACTGTACTGGAGCAAACCACCAAAGATCAACCCACCTGGCTCCATTTGGGGCATCCGGTTCTGGGTGACCCTATTGGATTTTATGAGGGAATTCAGGTAGGATCCAGAGGAAAAGGAAGGGCACTAAGAACACATTTCTGATTTGTCAGCTCTGGCTGCTTTTAGAAGTTTGCCCCAGGCAGTGAGCCCACAGGCCCGGGGGAGGATGTGGGGTGGCCTCTGAAAGTGCATTAAGGGATCCCTGGGTGGCGCAGCAGTTTGGCGCCTGCATTTGGCCCAGGGCGTGATCCTGGGGACCCGGAATCGAGTCCCACATCAGGCTACCTGCATGGAGCCTGCTTCTCCCTCTGCCTGTCTCTCTCTCTCTCTCTCTCTCTGTGACTATCATAAGTAAATAAAAATTAAAAAAAAAAAAAAAAAAGAAAGTGCATTAACCGAGGAGCTCCGTCTGAAGCCCGAGGGGAGGAGAGGTCCAGAAAGCACTCCGTGGGAACTCAGGCAAGCACCTGGAGGACCCAGGCTTTCCGTGGCTGGGCCGGGTGGGGCAGCTGCTGCAGGTACCTTCAGGGACTCTGGGGCTTTCTGTCCTGGCCGCCGGCAGCTTCTGTACATCCTGGGTTTGGGTTAATCCATCTCTACCTCCTTGGGGTACCAGAAGGAGTGGCCTGCCTTTGCTGTCTACACAGGGCCCTGCAGACAGGACGAGTCCAAGTTTACCTGGTTGACGGAAATGGGAGGTTGTCCTCCCTGCTGCTCCACCAACTCGGGGGCATGGCCTTGAGTCTTGGGCAAAGCTAATGGGGAAGGGGGTATTTCTTCCCAGACCCCCCCACCTCCGGCCTTCACCTCCCTGAGTATTGTGTTTCTTGTCCGGTTTCCACGGACCTCCCTGGGCTCGCTCCCGATTCCCTTACCCCTGTTAGAGGCGGCTGTCGCTCTGGTCTGGGTGAGCAGAAACCAGACAGGGCCGAGCCGGATTTGGCTCTGGAATGCTAATCCTCACTCCACCGACTGCAGCACCAGCCTCCTGCTCCCTCTCCAGGCAATCTGGGAGAACTGCAGAGGAGGTTGGGCCCGCAGAAGTCCCTCCTAAGGGAGGTCAGGGTCATTCCAGGTTAAGCTGTTCACCCCTCTGCCTTAGCAGTGAGGATGTAATACTCTGCTTTCCTTATAATTACCCAACTTGGCTGTGTCTCCCCGGGACTTACACGCAGTCCCTCTACTGGAGCAACTCTTCGGTCGTGTAATTACCCTTTCAGTGAGGGTGCTTGGTGGCTTCCACACCAGGCTTCCCTTCGCTCTCTAAAGGCTGGTTCTTGCCCTCCCCCAGCAAAGTCCCCAGCTAGCTCATTATGGTCATTAACACTACACACCCAATCCCTCGGTTTCTGTTCCTTGCTAAGGGGGGACAGGGGTCGTGGTGTCAGGAGGCAGCCAGAAGGCAGGGATGGCAGCCAGTCTGTGGACTAGGAGGCACATAATTGGAGTTTGAAAGCGGGGGCGCGGTTAGCTTAACTGTCCTCATAACTGGCTGGTGGACTTCTGTGTGGTGGAACTGGGAATGGGGTTGGGCAATGCTGCTTTGTCTCTGTGTCCCTGTCATCCTATACCTCCCACTCACTGCCACCCTATTTTGGGCCTTCAGCCCTTCTGCTGCTGAGCATCCTGAGTGGGCCCTGCTGCCATGGCTTTCCTACTTAGAGGACAGCCTGCAGGCCTGTAGCAAAGGTGTCACCTGGGCCCCACCCCCAGGCTCTTGAGTCATACTGGCATCGTGTCACCATCCCTTGTCCCCACCTTCACAGAATGAGGTCCGAGCTCTTCAGCCTGGCATTCCAGACCATCCCCAGGAAGAGTCCCATTCCATCCTCCTTGCCCTAGGCTGCAAGCCAAACATTTGGCCTTTCTTCAAGCACATCTTGCGTACATCCTTTTAAGCCCAGCCACTCCTGTGGCTGCCAGACAAGCCCATCCTGCTCTCCTTGCCGTGGGAATCCTAGCTAGCCTGCAGAGCCAGCTCAAACGTTCCTCCTCCCTCCCAAATATCTCGAATGAGGCCTCTCCCTTGCTCCTTGCCTCTTTGCCAGAATATCCAGAAATAACCTTGTCCTGAGTCCTGTGCTAATACTTTACACTTTTCTCACTGGTTCTCGTGTACCCAATTTAAATCCTGAAAGGCAGGAGGCCTAGGTAGTGGAAGGGGCTCTGGGGTAGCCAGCATTCAAAGTGTAGTGGGTTCCCTTCCCCTTCCCCAGCATAATCTGGAAGAGTCTGGACTATTTTCCATTCTTGGCCACCCTTCTAGCCCCCCACCGCCCCACCTTCTCAGATTGCTAGGTCAGAACTTCTGAGAGGTAGGGGTCAGGAAGCTGCATCTTTAGCAAACTGGGAGCCCCCTGTGTGGTGACAGCTGGTAGGTGGAGATTCGCACTGGCCTTCCTGAATGAAACAACCTGCTCTGGGTTGCCTGTGCTGGCTCTGCCGGTCAGGGTTGCCACAGGGATCCCATGACAGAGCAAATGAGCCCAAGGAATGCTGGCATGGTGTTTCACATACAGAACTACCAGGAGGAATTAGTCCGAAGGCAGTGTCCAGAGCCGTGCTCTTTACTGTAGCGATAACCTCAGCAACCCAACGGTGGAATTACCGTGGGCTCACCCAAAGGGCTACCCTGTTATAACAAGTGATAAGGGAGCACTTCTAGGTGCTTGTAGGGGAAGAATCACCTGTGGTAGCTCATCTCCAAAACTGGCCCCCAAAGAGCCAGGCCTTCCTGGAACTCCTGCCCTTGTGGCCAAGCCCCTCCCAACCACAGGCCTGGGCCTGCCTGGCACTTGCTTTAACCTTGAGAATGTGGCAGAAGTAATGCTGGGCCGGTTCTGAGCCTGTCCTACTGCCTGGCAGTTTCTGCGTTTGCACTTCTGGGAGTCCTGAGCTGTCCAGTAAGACCTCTGCCCACTTGGCAGTAGAAGCCCCATGAAGAATGACAAGCACATCTGCCCCCACATCCCCTACACACCAGCCACACATGAGCCACCATCTGAGATGTACCAGCCCAGCCAGGCCTCACACCCCAGGGAGAACCATGCAGCAGAGCCTTGTCAGCTTGTAGAAGGGGTGGGGGTGGGGGTCATAAAGTGGTTTTCAAGCAACTGGGGGTGGGGGTAGGGGCATCACAGGTACATACAACCAGAAGAGGAGGCTACAAAATGGCACACGAAGCCCTACCTCAACTTGTGAAATAAGCAAACTTTAGGAAGACATATACCACTAGCTGTGATTATTTTCCTGCTTTATTTTTTGGCTACCTTTTAGGTTTTAGACAGTAGACACATATTACTCGTGTAAGACGATGATGTCATAGTGACACCATCCATTTTAGTTCTAAAGAAAAGCTGCTACAGATAGAAGAGGGTCCTGTCTAGGCAAAGCTCTGCCCCCACTTGCCCGTTCACCCTGTCACTTTAGGGTCACCTGCTGCCATCAAGTTCTTTCCCAAGCGTGGGGCTCTTAGTTTCCACTTCCAAGGACTGGGGCACAACCCACCCTATCGGGAACAGGTCCTATTCTAATTCCCCACATTTACCCTGAGCCCAGAGAATACAAACCAAGTTCCTGATTGGGTTTCGATGGGAGACACAGAGCCAGCCTTCCTGCGTCCCTCTCGCTGCCATGGCAGCTGGTGTTGATTTCCACCCCTGCTCCAGCCATCACAACTCTGGCCGTGGGTTTCCCCATCCCTGGACACCAGGCTGGGCAGGGGAAGAGGAGACTCGGAGCAGGGACAGAGGTCAGCCAAGGCAGCTCTGATAGAGAAGATGGACCCACAGGCTGAGCCAGATACCACCACACGGGGACAATTGGGGACAGGAGAGCTAGGCATGTACCACAGCTGTCACCCCAGGACACTTGGAGGAATCAGGCTGAAGCCAAGCCTGCCTTCAGCTTGCACAGCTGGGGGAGGCAGTGGTGCGGAGCAGGGTTGGGAGGAACAGGAAAGAAATTTTTCAGACTTTCTTGAAGCTACTGAAGAAACCTTACATGCATCAGCCTAATATTTAAATAACATCTCGTTCTGATTCATGATGGAGTCATTGGACAGCCCCCTTGAACCCAGCTTGGATTGGGAAGAAGGCACATTTATGGAGACCTTGAAAAAGAAAACGGAAGCCTGCTTTTATTGATGCACACACTGACGGACTTGCGATTGGAAGGGGCGGTGACGTTAACATGACACTGCTGGTTAACGCAACGGAAACATGAGGACAGGAGATGGCTTTGCAGGGACATGACGCCTTCATAAGTTAGGGAAACGGACTGCTAGCTGGCTGCCCTTTCATTTCATGTTCTTCACAAACTCCTCTCCCTTTTTGATGGAGGCCTTCAGCTCGGGGATGGCTTCTGCTATCATCTTCTCTTCAAAAGGGGAGATCTTGCCAATGCCTAGATTCTTCTCGATGCCCTTTTTCTGGAGAAGAGGGGAGGGGGTCAATTGGACAATTTAAACATTTACAAGGATCATTAAAAATACTGCAAATTTTACAGGTTCCCACAAACAAGACTGTTAAGGAAAATATGACGTGTAACTTCACAACCCTGCCTGGCCCACCCACCCCTGGGCAGCCTGCCAGGGGAGCCTGGGCACCTAGGACGGAACGCCCCCAGGTGGGATCTGGACCCTGGCACTCACTCCACATGTACCTAGGCTAAGGCGGTTTCTTATCTAGAACACAGGCGTACCATCCACCTCTAAGGAGGCTGTGAGAACACTCGTGGGCGGCCTGGCACACCGAGGACTCAATCGTTAGCAGCACTGAATGTTATTCTCCCCGACATGGAGCATACTTTTGGGTTCTAGTCTTTCGCTAAGTTGGTAATATCCACCCAACTCCAATGCAGTCAAGTAGGGAGATGGAAAAGACATCAAGAAAACAACAGGAGCCTGTTACCATGTTGCCCCCACCACTAAGCTGGTTTGTCTGCACCAGCAGCCTCAGCTTCCGGGCCCCATCCCTGGAGAGCCCTCCCTGACCCCAGGGCCTGCCACACTGCACACGCCCATACCCCACTGGTCATGCAAACAGTCTGCTTGGTGTCTGTCTCTCCACCACATGGAGTCCCCAGGGCCTGGGGCCAGGTCTCAGTGACCTCTGGACATCATGGCATCTGTGGGAAGGGCCTATGGGTGGCTCAGCACGTCGCCAAATTCTCTTTCTGGGCAGGAGGTGAAGGCAACCACATCTCTGCCTGATGTCAGCAGATGCCTGAACACTGGAAATGGAAACCTGGCTGGCTGGCTTGTGTGAGAGAGACCTAGGGGTTTCTGCTCCCCAAACACTCGGGAAGAGTCACCAGACTGGATAGGTGCCTCCGAAACAGCCTGGCTGAAGCCAAGCAATGTGACCCAATGGACTCTGTCCTAGATGCCACGATCTCAAGGGGACAACCTACAACATGCTCCAAGAAGAAAACCAGAGGGGGCAGGAGGAGGAAGCAGAATGCCTGAGCAGGAAATTATCACAGCTGAGCAACCTCTCTGGGCCTCCCTGGAAGAGGAACCCTGAGGTCAGGACAAGAAGGAACCAGTATGAGCCAGAGGGCGACAGCACACAGGCTAGTAGAGGGAAGCCTTTGCCTTCAGAACTGTCCACAGCTGCCTTGAGACGGAGGAAGTGTCTCATCAAGAGACACACAGAGACAGCCGCTGACCAGCTGGCAGACCCACAGGGAAGGAGATTCACGTGCCAGTGGGTCCCTACCAACAGCTCGAGATTTCTCCCTCCTCTTAATTCTGTGATATGTGCTCACCCTCAAAAATCCCAGTACAGGCCAGGCACTGGGATGGAGTTACTGCACTGTGGAAAAGTGAATTACAGAGCAAACAGGCCACGGCTCCCAATCTTCAGTATAGAGAATGCATCTCCTTCCACAGTTCCAAGACCCCAACCTTCAGGATACATACCCCCAGCAGTAATGGTGTGGAGAAATAGGCACAGTCTGCTTCCTGGGATTTAACAAAGGAACATTCGACAACTCCTTCCTTCCCATTCATTGCATCCACAAGGGAGAAGACAAACCGAGCTCCAGCGTATGCCATGGACAGGGTGGCAGAGCCTAGGAGGACACAGGAGGGTTAGCCAAGCTAGCACTGCAACCGCAAAATCCAGGTGAGCCTGCCCTGCCAGCTAAATAAAGCGGCTGCAAAATCTGCAGCTTTAGCTGAGAAGAATTTAGGTCAGCATCTCTTAATTTTTACGAACTCATGAATGATACAAACTAGCCTGGCCAACCTCAAATGCCAATCCACTCCACAAAGCTGGACTGCCCTCTGCCTCGGGGCTGGCTTAACAAGTGAATGTATAGGGAGCCGAGAAAAGCATTCAGTGCTTGCCCGGCTCTTCTGTCTTCCACTGTGAGCTGTAGCAGGGTCCCTGGCATCAGCACCCCACCCTGGGGCTGCCCCCGAGAACGTACCTGCTCCAGCTTTGGCCTTCACCACCTCCGTGCCGGCCTCCTGAATCCGCCCAGTGATGGCTGTCAGCTGGTCCTGGGGAAGGTCCACCTTGGGTGTGCACTGCAGGTCAAAGCCACAGGGACCTGAGCAGGTTCGGCCACCACTCCCAGACCCCATCCTCATGGCAGGCACCCCCTGCCCCCCCATTGCCACCACCCAGGAAACCAAGAACACCTTTGCTTTAAAGAAAAATTCAACTTTGTTGGGAGGTGTAGTGTGTTCCCCACCCGCCCCCCTGCCCTTTTTAAAAGTAGGCTCCACACCCAACATGGGGCTTAAACTCACGATCCTGAGATTAAGAGTCACATGAGCCAGCCAGGCACCACCCCCTACCCTGTCCCTACTCAGTTTTGAGGAACTTTTAATATTTTGAACTAATTTTAGACTTAGAGAAAAGTCATAAAAATAGCACAAAGATTTCCTCACCCAGCTTACCCTCACGTTAGCATCTTATATAACCGCAGTGCAATTATGAAGAATAGGAAATTATCATTACATCAACCACAGGCCTTGCTCAAATGTCACCCATTTCTCCATTGCAGTCTCTTAACTGTCCTCACCCAGGACCCCACCTCGGTCCATTCCCCAGTAGTCCTGTCTTCTGGGACACTTGTCAAGAGGACTGACCGCTTGTTCTGTAGTATGTCCATCAATTGAGATTTATAAAAGGGTTCCTCACGCTTTTCTCATAAGGTCATGTACTTCTGGCAAGACTAGCATAGGTATTTTGTGTCCTCAGTGCACTGTACTCAGGGGTTAGCATACTGATTTAATGAATCTTCCTCTTGGTGGTATTCACCTTGTTTCGACTCATCTTTTTTAAAAATGTTATTTTTAAGCAACCTCTACACCCAGAGTGGGGCTTGAACTCCCACAGCCAAGACGAAGAGTTGCATGCTTCACTACCAGCTGGCCAGCTCTGACCCCACCAGAGATTCAGTGATTTCTTGCACTGGCGGTTCTCACTGTGTGCTGGGAGTGGCTACTGCGAGCACTTTCTGACCGCACGCAGTCCCGCAGGTGCCGACCTCCAAGGGTTGGGCCTGACTACGGCCCCCTCCCCCGACCGTGGCTGGGGCCAGATCCACAGCAGGAATCCTCTCAAAATATGACTGAAGCTTACATCCTGTTAGTCTGTCTTCAGTTCTCGAAGGAGGACCTCTTAAAGGCACTCCTGATCTCATGGCTTCCTGGCAAGGTGACATACTTACCTGAGAGATCAGGGGGATGATGGTCTTCCCAGCATGACCGCCAATGACAGGAACATTGACTCGCGCGGGATCCAAACCCTGGCCACCAAGGAAGGCATGAAGCTTTGTTAATTTTTTTTTTTTTGCCTTTTTTTTTTTTTTTAAGTTTTGTTAATTTTTAAAGCTCTTTGAGTATAAATTATGTCATGTCCACCTAAAACACCAGAACTGGAAAAATCCACAGAAGTCAGAACGAAGAAAGCACAGAAGCCCGAGTCCAGCTGTGATTAGGTTACGGACCCGCCACCTGGTGGAACATCAGCTGAAGCGCCGCGGCGAGGAGTAGTGTCATCTGGTGAGGTCACCTCCTTTACGGTGAGCAGAAACCTGCCTCCTGTAGGATCTCCCCATGATCCCTGTCAGTCTGGCATCTTCTGAGAATCAGAGGATCGTCCTCTTTCCCAGAGCTAATGTCATCCCCTGTGTATCAGCCCAGACTCGAGGTCCCATGCTTGGTCACAGAAAACGAGTCCAGTTCCCTTTCCCTCATTGTAGAGCAATATTCAAGACAGTTCCAGGAAACTACCCGGGGGTGAGGAGTCTGTCAACTCAAACAGTGATCAGGACAGAATAAAACTGAGCTGCAAGGGGTCCAAACACCAGGGTTCTTTGTACGGCTTGCTAGGAGAGGCTGATTCATTTGTTCAACCAGAGGCACGACACCCCCACAGATCTGTGGACTGGGTATTTCTTAAGATGGTTAAAAAAAAAAAAAAAAAAAAAAAGAATCTGGTGGAGTTATGGAAGGGAAGGGAGGGGTATCCCAGTGATGCCACCTTCCCCAAAGGCCACTGCTGCTAAAGAGAGCAGCCCTAAGTTAGGAACCCATCTTACCCAGCAAGGGAGACCCAGCCTCCACAGCGGGCTGACCCAGTAGGACCAGGCTCAAGGAGTGGGGCGCTCACACAGCGGTGCCTACGTGCCAAGGCAGTGTGCTGGTCACCAGGCACACAGGCATGGACAGATGGGGTCCCTGCTTTCCAGACACTCACTGTTGACTATGAGACAGATACGAGTGATGTCCCTGGGTAAGGCTATGACAGCCACACAGGGCAGACTTGTGAGCAAGGGGAGCACTTCATCAGTGTGGGAGAGGCTTTTGGGACAGACTTAACTCCATCCGGGAAGCAGCAGCAGCACTCTGCCAAAGGAAGCATATTCTAGGCAAAATGGGCAGAAAGAGCAAAGGCCTGGGGGTATAAAGAACATTTATTACATCAACAGAAAAGCCAAGAGAGGTGGCAGAGGGGGCAGGAGATGGCAGAGAGGACTGAGGACTGAGGGAGGGTGCAGACACTGGAGGAGTAAGGGCCAACTATCATTCCTGATACAATTCAGGATTTTTCCAGAATGCCAGAGAGCCTCAGGGGGAGGACAGTTCACTTAACAGAGGCTTGACAAGCACTAGGTTCTCTGCCAGGGGCCAGGATCCCCCTCTTCCTCCACCTCAAGCAGTAGGACTCCCCAGGTTATGAAAGCACCATCCAGCAGAACCTTCTGGGAGAACACAGGTGCCACATGTGGCTCTCGAGCATCTGAAGTGTGGCCAGCACAATGAAAGACATGAATTTCTCATTTTATGTAATTCTAAGTAATTTAAATAGACACGAGTAGCTAGCATGTCGCAGCAGGACTAGGGGCCCAGGGGAGAGGGCATGCTTCAGCCCCCAAAGTTGGTAGCACCACAAGAGCTCAAAGTAATGAGCACTGTGGGTTCCAGGAAGCTGGGCTCCAAGCCTCAGGAAGCCCAAACCCCACCCTCCCAGCCTGTCCTTGGTCAGACTCAGCTTGAGCACAAGCTCCTCTGGAAAGCCTGTCCTGACTCGGACAACCACCCCACACATCCAGGCTGAACTGCTCACTCGATTACACTGGCTCTAGAATCCCAAGGCCTGGCCCTATATTATCTGGATCTCTGGGACTCCACATCCAGGACAGAGGCTGAGGACATGCCACAACCTGAATGAGAGTGGGGCAGTACACGTCAGAAGCAGACCTGTATGGTGCAAGGGGCACTACAGCGAAGGTCAATGGTGTCATGTGAGCAGTCCTCACTAGGCCGCATGCAGGACAACTGTTCCTACTTTAGAGAGGCCCCCTCATCTCCACAGTCAGAAAAAACTGGCCTAGGGATCAAGAGGGACACTTCTTCGGGCCACAGAAGTGGTTCTGGTGGATTCACAATCTGAGATTCAAAATCAAGCCATGAGAGGCACCACGGAAGCCAGTGCTGGCGCAGGTGCCAAACCCACCCCAGCATGGGCGGGTGGCCCCATCCAAGCCCAAGGAACGGCAGGTAACTGGAGTCAGAACTACAAGCCAGAAACAATGATCCTGACATCTTAGGACATCAGAAATGTTCCTAAATTCATGTTTTTCCATTTTATCATTTATCTAACGATTAGCAGGTAAATCTTGTTAGTTCTAGTTTTCAGAGACAATGACCTTAGAGAGCACAACCCAAGTGAGCCAGCGAGAAACCTGGGAAAAAGCCTGGACCCCTCAAGGCACCAGAGAGGACAGAGAGTGAGCAGAGTTGAGACTCTGGCTGGCTGATTAACCTGCAGGGGTCTGTTTGGATCCCCCAAGAAAATGTGAGAGCCTCTCTCCCCCACAGGGGCAAGCTCCAGGAACACTGAAGACTCCCTGGTCTCCAACGCCCATTGATCAGCCAAGGACAGCCAGAAATGGAGCGTGAAAAGAACCCCTGCAGCTCTTACCTTTAGTTCTGCAATGAAAGTGTTGGCCCTGACAATGTCCAGGGTCGTCACCCCGAAGATTTTATTGGGGTTGTAAGCTCCATGTTTCTTGAAAACCTCCGTTGCAATTGGGATGGTGGAGTTGACCTAGAAATCCAAGAGAGGGGTAACTTGCCCTGTGTTCTGAGAGAAGAGACATGCAACAGACGGAAAAATCTTTTCCCTGGGCCGTTAACAAGTTGTACGGGCCGAACTGCTCTGATAACTTGGTTTACAAGCAAGCTGCTCTTGCAGTAGAAGAGGTCCCAGTGGGCCAACTTCCTACTCTCCCCTCCATGGCAGTAGGCGCTCTTCCCCTTAGGGGCTCCTGGGCCCACAGTTCAAAGGTGCATGTGACCTTCCCGCTGCCAACCTAAAGCATGAGGATGGCTCCACAGGACATCTCCTGCTCCAGCTGGGGCTGACATGTGAGTGGCCAATTTTTAAAAGAGGACCTTGTAGCACAGGGCCAAAGCTTCAGATGGCCTCGGGTCAAGTCCCAGCTCAGCCACTCTGTGAGGTAAGCCTGGGCAAGATTCCCCTCACCTATAAAGGGGCTTTAAAGAGACAACCACATTATGAGGCCGTGAAGATTAAGGGACTTAATATACAGCAAGTGCTGACACAGTGACCGGTGCATGGAAAGAACGTAAGAAAAACGAAACACAACTGTGGGACTTCAGTTAGGCAGTAGGTCAGCATCCCAGCAAAAGTGATGGCTGCTTCCTACAGCTGACCAGCTGCCCTGAGGAGGGCGAGCTGGTTGGGGATCTGTTTCTCAGAGGCCCTGGGGATAAGCCCTGGGCGTGGATCAGCAGGCATGTCCCTTGGTCAACATCATGGGTCATTGCACTTCCACACAGAACCTGAGCCTCAGAGTCTGGCTTCAGCCAGAAGGGAGGCACAGAGGCTGCATCGGTCTTCTTGGGGAGGGGAGGGTACAGTACGTGCACTTTCAAGATCGAAGGAGACAGTCCCCACAAAAACCTGTGAGGAGGGCTTGCGGTGGCTGAGCAAGCCTGATGGAGAACCAGAAACTGCAAACCCTGAATAGAACAGAGTAAAAGAAGTTAATAGGCCACCACAGTCAGAACCACCACAGGCTCTGAACAGAGCCTCAAGAGTGGGTTTTGCAGGTGGAAAGGGGAAGGGATCTGTCCAAAGGCACACAAGTGGTGGGAAAATCGGGGTGGAATTCACACTTAGCTCATTTGATTTGGCCACTGCTGCCCCTAAAATCGGATTTTGGTCCTGGTAAGCACCTTGCATACGGCATACTTTTGCTAACTGTGGGCACAGTATTAGCGGCCTGCCAGTGGCACTCACCGGATTTGAAATGACGCAGATCATGGCCTCAGGGCAATGCTGGGCGCACGCAGCAGTCAGGGTGGCCACAATTGAGGCATTGGTGTTGAACAGGTCATCCCGTGTCATGCCTGAGAATGATCCGATTCAAGATGTTCACAAAGCACAGAATGAATCACCAAATGTGTGCCACTTGTTACAGGAAAACCAAACATGAGCGAGACAGGGTCCCTATTCCCAGCAAGTCTCTCTTGGAGAGAAAACAATCTAGTGTAAGAAGTACATAAATAGAGGCTTGTGGAGGGGGCTTGAGGTGGGTATCTGAGGAGGATCCCCAAGGCTCAGTAGGAGTTCCCGAGGAGCAGGTGGAAGAAGGGGAACTCTGGGCAGATGGCGTGCATAGGAGCACCAGACTGAGCAGGGGACAGACACAGCAGACTCGTGCATGGCCTGAAGTGCCAGGCCAAGAAAGGGACTTCTCTCTATCCCACAGGAACTAGGGAGCCTCTAGAATTTTTCTCTGCCACGGAGACATTGCCTCGATCTAGTTTAAAGGAAAACCCCTTCTCCACCTGACGGGCAGGGAGACATGAGGAAAGGCTTCTACACACACACCTGGTTTTCTTGGGACTCCGGCTGGAATAACCACCACATCGCAGCCTTTGAGGCAATCCGGTAGCTGCTCAGGTCCGAGGTAGCCTGAAAGCCCCCCCAAAAGAGAGCAAGGTCACTTTTTCTGACCTGGAGAGGCGAGTATGTCTGTGGGGATGGAGCTGGGGGAAGGACGGCCCCATCTGGGTCTGATGCCGACCACACGCCTCCAGAAGGGCTGCAAGGTCCACTGTGGAGGGCTTCCTGACCCCTGATGCCCACAGGTCTGATAGTTCTGGCTCCTTCCATGCCACTTCCTCCAGCCCCCGACCACTCAGGTCCCCCTGCTTTGGAATGGATCTAGGTCTCCCCCTAAAACATACCAGGTTCAGATGCTTGTCTTTATTTGACCTACCAGCCCCTGTAAGGCCTTCCTGGCTCACCATTCGAAGGGCTGCTTATCCACCTTCCCAGTCACCCTAACCAAAGCTCCATCTCAGGGTCAGGTCAGAAGATGTACTAGAGGTCATGCGAGAAAATCATGGTTGATAAGCAGGGACTCAAAGTATTAGTATCTATTTTCTTTAAGCCTATCATCTCAGGAGAAGAAAGGTCCATTTTCAAAGGTTTCAAGGGAAATTTGCTCCGATGACCAAAATGTGCTTTGATCTGAAATTTCCTTTTCTTGCAGGAGCTTTCAGAAGCTCCGAAAGAAAAGGAGCAAACGGATTCAGAGACAATGGAAGGCATATAAACTAAGAGCTGACAGTCGACCTCCTGAGTTGTGCCTGCTGGCTGAGGATGTGTGGTTAATACCATCATGCAGGGCATTCCCACAGTCAACAGAAACAGAGATTTCTACCCTCTTCCTGGATGGTACCTTGGACTTTACAGTAAAAGCTTTAACATAGTCATACCTACTAATTCTACTTCTGGGGCTTCTAAGAAGATATAGAGATGAAGATGTTCATCACAGCTTATATATTTGTATTTAGAGTAGAACAAAACAGGAAATAGCTCAATGGCCAACAAAACAGCTAATATGCTAAATAAAAGGTAAAGTACAGTCTTGCTTTAAAAATGATTTAACCAAGAATTTGGTGACGTGGATACTGCTATAAAGTAAAGGTAAAATAACCAGGATATAAAGTATGTATAATTACAAATTATTTCTTGGATTACCTACATGTGTTTGCCTAACAGGAGGAGATTTCCCTAAGAAGGCTGTGCTTTCGAGAAGCTGGCATAGGAGCCCAGGGTGAAGGGAGGGCTGGCCCATGGCATGGGAAGGCAAACCTGCAGCCCACTGGGAGGCAGCATTCCTAATGTCCCCCTAATCTCCAGAAGGCCCTGAAAGTTCCCCTTCCTCAATCTTATTACTATTCAAATTATAAAAAAATTAAAAACAGGAAGATTAGATCACCTTTGCTTTTCTGAAAGACACTGCTGTTTACATTTTTACTGGCATAGTCATTTGTGAAATTCAATTCTATAATTAGTGTGGAAACCCCGAATCTCTGATCTATTTTCACTGAAGAACTGTGTTCTATCACTTGGACCCTGGTCTACTGGTGAGAAGAGAAGCAAAGACTCCAGGGTCAGTGTGTCCAGTACCTTTCACGGTTGCTCTGGTCTCGATGTGGCTCAGATCTGCGGCCACTCCGGGTGTATGAGCAATATCGTAGAGGGTCAGGCGGCTCACTAAGGGGCTGTTCTTGAGAAGCAGCGCAAGGGGCTGCCCAATTCCTCCGGAAGCCCCAAGCACAGCTACTTTAGCATTGTTCTGAAAAGAGGCACAAAGGACTCTTAATATACAATCAGTATTAGAAGTAGACACCTGATATCCTGTAAAATACTGCACTGGACCTCTTTCATTGCTGTGACGCTAAAGGAGACACCAGTGTCGCATTTCTATTAGTCCAAAGGTCCAGTTTCCTTCTGCAGTGTAGAGGCTTATCTCAGGGAAATAGGGAACTTAGGTCCACAGATGTTGATAGTCAGGGTCCTACTGCAAACACCCTCCGAAAGATGAACAAGCTTTCCTTAGGTAGCCTTCCAGTTAACCTGCAGTTTTATTTTTTCATTTATTTTTAGAAGATTTTATTTATTTGACAGAAAGAGAGAGAAAGCATGAGCTGTGGGGAGCAGCAAGGGGAGAGGGAGAAGCAGGAAGCAGGCTCCCTACCAAGCAGAGAGCCCGATGTGGGACTTGATCCCAGGATCCTGGGATCATGACCTGATCCTAAATCAGACACTTAACCTTCTGAGCCACCCAGAGGTCCCAGGCCTCTGTATGTTCAACCAAACTTCTGGGTGACTCTGGCACTAGCCAAAGACTGAGAATCATGACTGCTCCATACCAAGACAAACAGGAGAACAAGCAGCAGGTGGCTCTGGGCATGTCAGTTGGTAGGAAGAGTTAAAAAGTGATATAGCTGAGAGACTCAACTGCCTTGCTAGCATCTAAAAAGCTGGAGCTAGAGGAATTTTTTTTTAAAGATTTTATTTATTCATAGAGACAGAGAGAGAGAGAGAGAGAGAGAGAGAGGCAGAGACACAGGCAGAGGGAGAAGCAGGCTCCATGCAGAGAGCCTGACGTGGGACTCGATCCAGGGTACCCAGGATCACGCCCTGGGCTGCAGGTGGTGCTGCGCCACGGGGGCTGCCCTGGAGCTAGAGGAATTTTTATCAGTTTATCAGTCACCTTACTGGAACCGGACTTGACTTTAGATAGCTACTTCAGAGCTAAGTACATCTAATGACTGCATCACTTAATTCCCTTCATTTTCTTACACCAGGGAGTGGGATTGAGGAGTCATATGGCAACTCCATGTTTAACCTTTGAGAAGCTGCCAGACTGTCTTCCAAGGCGGCTGCTTATTCATCTTTAAGGCTCACCTCCAATTCAATAGGCACGGACTTCCTATCTGCCACATGCCAGACTTGTCGACATGTGGCAAGACTTGCAAACTGAAAGATGTGCAAATGGAATAAACATCTAGTGTGACAAGTGCCATGGAGGTAGATGCTGGGAAGAGCAGCAGCACAAAGGAGAGAATAAACTGCGAGAGGGGATTTTGAAGGATGAGCAGTGTTTTGCCAGATGGATGCTAGAGGGAGGAGCTATGGAGTATGGCCTAGTGAAGGAAAGCAGTCCTCTATGGCTCGGGCATTGATGGACACATGTGGAGGAAGGAAGAAGGCAGGGCAAAAGCTGAGGACCTAGCAGAGTAGATCTGGTTCTTCTGGGCATTGGGGAACCAGCACAGGCCTTAAAAGTTGTGTGTCTCTGCCTCTCTCTCTGATGAATAAATAAATAAAATCTTAAAAAACAAAAAGGAAGCTGAATGGAAGATGGCCTGGAAATATACAAGAATGGAGGCAGGGAGACTACTGCAATAGTCCAAGATGACTCAAGGGTGGGATCTAGGTAAGCAAGAAGGATGGGTAGGTTATAAGGGATTCAGTCACCACCCTCCCCTTCCATCTGGATGGTGAGTAGAGAGAAGATCCTGGGATGACAACTTCCTGGCTTGAGTAGACAACACTGCCTTTAGGCAATAGAGGGAACTTAGGAGAGGTAAGGGGTTTGGGAGAAAGGAAAATGAATTCAGTTTTGCATGCCGGGTTTGAGTTCCTTGAAACACACACACACACACACACAAACACACACACGACCATTAGGCTAAAGGCTTGGACTGGAGGTCCTAATAAGCATCTGCCCTGAAATTAATGGTAGCCACAGATGTGGACAAAGGGACAGAGCCCTATGAATACCAGCATTTAAGGAAGAAGAGGAGCCTGTGAAGGATAATGACCAAATTGGACTTTTTTTTTTTTTTTTTCCAAATTGGACTTAAGACCATCCCCACCCCAGCCATTTCCAACAACGAAATCAATGACTGCCTCTTGGTAACCTTTCCTGTGAGGAGTAGAACTTACTATACAGTAGACCTTCACCCAAAACTCACACCATCCAGTAACCTCATTTATTGGGGACACCAGAAGCAAAATGATAGCTGTGGGGCATTTGTCAGGTCTGGTCTGTGGCTGGTACTGAACTAAGTCTTTCCTTATCTGACTCTCAGAACTCCATTAAGTAATATAATTGGACTCATTTTACAGATGAGGAACTGAGGTACAGAAGTTGTAATATGCTCAGGCGCAAAAATATAGCAAATGATGAAGTAGGATATGAGCCAAACAAAGGCTGCTTAAGAAAGATAAACTCTAAAAGCATATACAACTAAAAATCTGACTTCAGTTTTGATTTTTTTTTAATTGGTGCTGTAAATGGGGACTCCTGACTTCCCAGAAAACTTAACTAGCCATTTCAACCTAAAACCCAAGGTCTGGCAATCTCATCACTTCTAGATGTTCACTCTTACACCTTGTTTCTACTCCTAGGGACCCCCCCCCATCCCAAACTCCCACTTTCCCAGCTCTGTTAGGCATTCCAATGGTGCCATAAGCTCAACTGTCTAAATAAATGTAGGCTTTCTACTTCTGCCACCCTGTTCCTAAATAGTACCTATGTTCTCCCAAATTCAAACCCTTAGAACCATTTCCTGTCTCTTTGCTTATTACAGACACCCAGTTACGGCATGGAGGACTTAGCATCTCAAACACCTTCCCAACATCCCCTCACCTTCTGTTCCCATTCCATTATCTATCCTAGGCGCTCAGCTCCACCTCAAAACCATCCTTCTAAAAATTAACTTTTAATCATTTCATTTCTTTACTCAAAAAAAAAACTTCCTTGAAGTCCCTCATGATCAGATTATTCAGCCTGGCTTCCAAGGTGGACCCTGGAGCTCCATATTGGGTGCAGAATTAGAAAAAAAAAGAGACAGGGACATCTGGGTGGCTCAGTGGTTGAGTCTGCCTTTGGCTCAGGTTGTGATCCCCGGGTCCTGGGATCGAGTCTTGAATCGATGCCTCTGCCTGGGTCTCTGCCTCTCTGTGTCTCTCATGAATAAATAAATAAAATCCTTAAATAAAAATTAAAAAAAAAAAAAAAAGAGACAGACCTGATGCCCTTGCTAGGGTATTCAAGTGAATCAGTTCCTTATGATACATAAGATGACCTCATTCATTCTGTTGCTTTCAGGGTTGAGGCGCTATCATTATTTTTGTGTATTACAAGGTTTTAACAATTTAGTTAATATGTATAAAAACAGTCCTTCAGTGGTGGAATCTTTATAATGTAGACAAGAATCTGTGGTATTGCAGGGATTAATTTATGATCTCTTTGCAGAAGACCAATCTCCAAATTTACGGATCTTTTCTGCATGAGGAATAGCTGTCAACAGCACACACCCAGCAACTTTTACAAATGGATATACAATTAACACTTCATTTATAGGTTTGCTTTATAATGTAAGTCTATTATGGCTTGTTGTTAAAGTTCTATTTTTTATGTTATATATATTAGTACATACTAGAAATAAATATATTGAGGCTGTGCACTAGATACATTTTTACTGTTAAGGTACAAGATCCAGGAGCGCCTGGGTGGCTCAGTCAGGTAAGCCTCCAACTCCTGATTTGATTTCCAAACTGGTCATGATCTCAGGGTTGTGGGATAGGGCCCTCAATGGGTATGGGGTCTGCTTGAGATTCTCTCTCCCTCGCCCATTCTCTTAAAAAAAAAAAAAAAAAAAGGGATCCAGGATCTAAAGTCTCTAGACCAACGTACCTACTTTGCTTAAGCTCATCATTCTGACTTACTCTAGTGCCTTCTCAATGTCACCACTTATATGTCCCAATGTCCCATATACATCTTAAACATCTCAAAATGAGCTCCTGATGTTCTCCCCTGTTTAAATCCACTCAGTTCCAGCAGCCTTTCTCATGTCAGCAATTTCAAAGTCCATGCCAGTCTGGTATACCTCATCCAACCGTCTTGTCAGCAAATCCCAGGGTCTTATCTGTGATCAGTTCCCTTTCCCCACTCCTCTGCGTCAGTCTTCAGCACCTCCACCTGTCCTAAGTTTATTCATTTGGGGCCTATCTCAGGTACCACTCCTTACTCATCTTGGTATCTCCTGCAGCACCCGACCCAGATCTTGGCGAGCACGGATACTCAATGCACCTATTTGTGTACTTATTTTTCAAATGAACTGAATGTCCAAGAAACTGATCAGAAGGACAGAAGCTAAAGCAGAAAGTTCCTTTACTAATCACTTTCCTTTGGTGTGCAATATGGTTATCTCCTGGGTTCTCAAACTTTAGTTATTTTAGAATCACCTGGGGCACTTGGTAAACATGCAACAGGTCCTACCCTCCTTCAATGCACCTGGGCCTGTTCTTCATTAGCTTTCAGGTGATTCTAACATGCACCAGAGTTTGAGAACCACCATCCTAGGAAGATGAGTCAAAGCTTAGGCTAATGCACTCCCAGGCCAAGTCCTGCACAGTCACCACTTCTGGGGGCAGGCCCGGTGGCCCACAGCAAGCAGGATCCTTCAAAAGGGTCCTTAAGGCTGCGTCTTTCCGTGGGTAGAGCGAAAGCTTCATGATCCAAAAGCCACTGACAGTGGGCAGGACAGCTGACTTAATTCTAGGGCCAAATGGCTGTAACCTTGGACCAGTTCCCTACCCTCGGTATCTCAGTCGGCCTGCTCATGGAGTTAACAATTAACGTTATTTGTACGGATGCTACAAGAATAAGGTTAGTCGTTTAAGGTACTATAGAAAGTTGCATATAAGCATAAATTATCTTCGGCCCTACAGCCAAAGCTTCTGAAGCCTGAAATTGTGCAGAACAAGAGCAAGCTCTCTGGGGACTCGGGGGAACGAGATGGGGGGCTCCCCAACCCCTCTCCTGGGCTTTCTTTCGGCACTTCCCTCCCAGTATCCGGGCCGGCCCAGGGCGCCACAGGCGCGGGTCGGTACCGGGCGACCCTGCAGTCTAGGATGGCCCGGAGATCAGGGCTGCTCGCGAGCCCAGAACCCACGTGGCCCAGGCCGGGGGGACCTCCGCCTGCAGGGAGCCCCTCGCCGGGCCTACCTGGGCCGAGGTGCTGAAGCTGCGGCGGAGAGCGGCGCCGGCAGGGCGGGCGAGGGCGGAGAGCATGGTTGGTTGGAGCGGGCAGGGAGCCGAAGAGCAGGCGCAGGAGCCGGCGGCTGGCAGGTGACACCAACGACCTCCACACTGCACAGGGCCTCCCGGCTCCGCTCCGCCCGGCCTCGCGAGAAGTGGCGCTCCTTCCGGCCCCGCCCACCTCCCAGATCTCGCGGTGTGGACTCCGCCTGGGCCGGGCCCCGGGGTGGTAGAGCGCGTCGCGTTCGGCGCGGCCGGTGGGGGCGACGCGGTCGCGAGTGGGAGGGAGAGTCCGCACCAGAGAGGTGGAAGAGGACGGGATTTAGGCTGGAAGCGCCTTAGCGGAGCCATTTCCAGGTGGGGCCGCAGCCAGAGGCTCTGACAAGGAGACCGGTCAAGGTCGCGCTGCAGGCCGGGCGGAGTGCGTGCGGTCCCGGCCCCAGACCTCAGCCAAACTGCTCCTCGTGGAGGGTGCTCCGAGCTCCGGGAAGCTCTGGAAAGGAGAGCGGGGAGAGGAGGTTGAGTCCTGGGGGCGGGGGCCGAGGATGGGGTCCCCTGTAATCAGTCACTTCGTTGCGTTCCCCGCCCCCTCCCCCCCCCCCCCAAACGCACCCGGCCAGTGCCCTCGTCCCTCCAGGGGCGCAGGACCTTCACTGACACCGCCACCGAGAGTGGCGCATGCAGCCCTGCGGGCGGGGCTCTGTTCTACAAGTTGATGGGGAAGCTGGTATCGAGGTGGTAACTTGCGTGGTCACCCGATCCCTGCTCCTCAGCCCTGCTGTGAACACGGCCGCATTGTGGCTGCTTTATGTAGGGAGAAACTACAGCTTAGCCCAGTTGAGTGGATTCGCTGAGTTTTCCCGGCGAGAAGTAAAAAGCTATGGTTCTTAACAAGGAATTTATCATTTAATATATAAGTTGAATTAGAAGCTTCATTTCTCCCTCCTCCCCACCCCCTCACGTCCCGCAACTACTTCCTGGGTGTACAGAGAGAGTGCCTCGCCCTCGAAAAGCTCAGTCAAGTGGGGCAGGCAGATGTGCAGCAGGGCTGTTGGTTTCACAAGATCCCGTTTTTCTGCCTTTAAGGAGCTGAGTCTAGTGGGGAGACAGTAGGCAGTGTGATAGGGGCAACACCAGGAGGGTTATGAAGTGCGGTGGGAGCAGAGGAGGTGCATCTCACCCGGTGGGGTGGGGGCCTTGTGGGAGGGGACATTCCCCTGCAGGAGAGGGAGAGATCCTTGCTTGAGCAGGGGAGTTCAAGCGTTTATTTATTTTCTTAAAGATTTTATTTATTCATTAGAGGCACACAGAGGCAGAGACACAGGCAGAGGGAGAAGCAGGCTCCATGCAGGGACCCTGATGTGGGACTCCATTCTGGGTCTCCTGGATCACGCCCTGAGCTGAAGGCAGATGCTTAACTGCTAAGCCACCCAGGCATCCGGAGAGTTCAAGTGTATAGATGAGAAAGAAGAACCCAAAGTAAAACCTGGGCGTAGGAAAGCTTAAGTCTATGGATGGAGAATAGATTCTCTCTGGTGGAGTGGGGTCATAAACACATGAGCAGTGTCCTTTATCTTATCATTGACTACTCTCTGGTTCATTATTTGCCCTTCTATCTTACCACTAGAAATGAGAATACCTTGTGGTCAGGTGTGCCTCTCATCTCTGAGCCTTTATTACCCAGCACGTAACCAAGCTGAGAGTGGGTCTCTTGAGTTTTGGGAGAGTTGAATAGTTTTGGTAAGGCTGGGAAGAGCAGGTTGCAAAAAAAACCAGATTGTGCAGGACCTCTGAATGTTAGCTGAGAAGCTTGTATTTATCAAAGTGTTGGCAAGTGTTTATCAAAGGCTTTTATGATCCCACTAATACCATGAGGAAGATTGGACTGCCCTTGGTGTGCCAAGGTTTCTTTCTTTTTTTTTTTTAAAAGATTTTGTTTATTTATTCATGAGAGGCACAGAGAGAGAGAGAGAGAGGCAGAGGGAGAAGCAGGCTCCATGCAGGGAGCCCAACATGGGACTCGATCCTGGGTTTCCAGAATCATGCCCTGGGCCAAAGGTGACGCTAAACTCACTGGGCCACCAGGGCTGCCCTGCCCCAAGGTTTCCAATGGAGGATGTGGAGGGCACGGAGATTGTTCAGGAGGCTATCTTAGGAGATGATAAAGATCTGAGTTATGATGGTGGCCACAGAAATGGAGGGAGAGGGTCCAATGAGGAAGCAGTCTCAAGGAAAGAATTGACTAGTTTGTGCCTATCTGGGTTTAAGAAATGAGTAAAAGAGATGTGGGAAATCTAGGCTGAGAAGTATATAAGTCCAGAAACGGGATTTGGGGTTGTGTGGAAGGAGAGCTGGCTGGAGGCAAAAAATAAAGAGCTCCGTTTTAGAGGAGTTGAATTGGAAGTGATGGTGAGTTGTCCACATAGAAATATCAGATGGGGAGAGATGGGGAGTTACTCCAACATAATATGTGGGATTGAACCCCTGAGAGAGGACAGGGCTGAAGGCATCCCTGCAGAGGGGAGAAGTGAGGCCATGAGAAAAATGAGAATGACAGATTCTCAGGTTTGCTCCAACAACTGGGGCTCGAGTCCCATCCCCTTCCCTGCCAAGTTCTGTACTCAAGCCATCGGGAAGCATTTGACTGTTAGGAAAGCCAGCCTTATACTGAGTTCCCAGCTGCTTCCCTTTCAATCCCAGGATTGTTTATAACAGTATTAACAACTACTGTATTAAGCTCTGACTCTGTGCTCTGCTTTGCGTGTGTGACTTACACTGAACCCGCAGGGCCTCATTCAGGAAGCCCATTGCAGTCCTAAAAAGCCGTTTTGCTTTGTCGTCATCTCCACATTTCCTTGTTTGGTTTGTTTGTTTTAAAGATTTTATTTATTGATGAAACAGAGAGAGATTGGCAGAGAGAGAAGCAGGCTCCATGCAGGAAGCCCGATGTGGAACTTGATCCCAGGACTCCAGGATCACACCCTGGGCCCAAGGCAGGCACTCAACAGCTGAGCCACCCAGGCTTCTTGCTTTCTTTCTTTGCTTGCTCTTTAGTTACACTGAGTCATCAGAACAGACTCCCTGCAATCACCTCAAAGTCCAGTTTACATTAGTTGTCCAGTCTCAAATCGATTTGGTGTGAGAGCTTCTCCTTCCTCTCCCCGCCTTGAGCTTGCTTTAGGCTCCCACCTTGGAGGGGAGGGTGCTTGACTTCCCCATTTCCCCATCTTGCTTCCTTACACACACACCCCTCCCCCATCAGACTGTGGCTTCAGACCCATGGAAGTTGTGGGAGAAGAGATAGGGCAGGAAAGATCCCCCCCCCCCTCACCTGGCATTAGTATTCTCTGAGCTGGATGGGAGTTTGTAGCTCGTTATTCTCCATGTAGTGCTTTTGTGGTGCAGTTCCTTTGATCTAAGTGGTGATGCCTCAGTTTTGCTGCTTTCATCTCTTTCTTCAGCCCCTGGTTTCTGGAATTCCCTACTACCTCCAGTTGGCCCATTGTCCTTCCAGGTGGCAAATCTTCTGCAAAGTCCCTTTATAATGGCTTCTAGTTGGTGGCTTCCCTTGCCCACATTTGCTCTGCAGGAAACGCTTATGGATCCTTTGCTCCAACAAATCCCCGGGGGTGGGGGTTGTGTGTATAGGGCATTTCAAATGCATCTGCCTCTCCTTGCTTTGCCAACAGCCAGCCTCAGACTTTTCCAGGATGGGGCCCAGCACCAGCCTGTCTGCTTGCACTATCTTCAGAGGGCACAGGCCAAGCGATTCTAAGGGTTTTCTGGTTTTGTGAATTGTTTCAATAAAGCGAAGGCTTGTGAATGTTGGAATTCATGAGGATGCTAATAGAGGGAGTGAGATTTGAGATGCCAAAAGGAGAGAAGGTTTAGATTGGAGAAGGTAAGGTCAGGGGATTCCAGGAGAAAGCACAAAGCCCCCAGCCCCTACCCCCCAGGGGCAGCTGGTTGAGGAGGGCTGTTCATACTTTACCCTTAGGCAAGAAGTAGGAAATGAGAGAAGTTGCTCCTTGGGGACCCAAGGAGGGTTGAGGAGGTTTAGATAAAAGGTACAGCAGTTGGGAAAATTCTAGGCAAATGAACAAAGAGCAAGGGATTTACTGGTAGCTGTTGAGGCCAAATTGACTTCTGCAGTGTGTACTTTCTTTGTGTCCAAATCCACATGGTTTCCACAGCCCAGACCCCCCACCAAGGTCATCAATGAGCAGGTGGGGCTACACACACAGACTCCTATCCACACCTGCATATTTGAACACATAAACACCTGGATCTACACAGGGAATTTATTTTTATGGGCATATAGTTTACATACAATATACAGATCTTAAATGTTGTTTGGTTTTGACAATTTACACCCTTAACCACCACCCCTCAAAACCATCTGTAGAACATTTCCATTATTCCAGAAAGTTCCTTCATGCTTCTTTCCATCAATCCCCCGGGACTGGTACTTCCTGATTCCTATCACCATAGTTTCATTTTTACCCACTCTTACATATTTTTATACACAATATGCAAGCACATTGACCTCCTCCTTGCCCTATCCCACATATACTCAAGCCATACACATCCATGTATACTGACCATTTTGTGCCTTACCATTTTGTCTTAGACCATGGTTATGGGCTGTCATATTTTTGCTATTAGATGCTTGTATATGCTAACCTACCTTCAACCCTAAAATTGTACCCCAAGTGAAGTATTTTAAATTTCTTCTTCGGATTCCTGGAGCAAAGAGTGAAAAGTAAGAAAGGTGGTAATCATTCTGTCTTGTATGGGAGATTGAGTGATTGATTGATTGATTGATTGATTGATTGATTTTGAGCTCTAGGATATTTTAAAACGGAGCTGTATTTGGATAAACAGCTTTAACTTTGTTGTGGCTCTTGCCTGTCAAAGGATTTGGTTTCCAAGATACATTGCAGCAGAACAAGTGTGAGGTGTGGCCTGGCAGCAGCAGAGGCAGCAGGAAGCATGGGTGGGCAGGGAGTTTCTAAGAGCTGGGAGTCACTGATGGTGGCAGGTATGAGTCAGGAGCAAAGCCTTTGGTCTCTCAGATCAGTCAGAGGTCAGGGAAGTAAGAGCACAGCTGAGTTTCTGGACTCAGGGCTGAAGACTTGTGTCAGAGGAGCAGAAGGTGAGGTCTAAGCCTGGTCAAGGAGCAGAGGAGAAGTAACTGCTGAGACCAGGTGTCATGGTCCCAGCCTTTGGGAGACTTAGAGTTGACCAGCCCCTACGCCTCACAGGTGAATTGCATGGATAGACCTGTTAATCTCACAGGACTGCAAGGGTACCTCTCAGATGTGTAGTGAGCCTAGGTTTGGGGACACAAAAGTGAAGGCAAGATAGAAGATTAAGAGACAGGGACGTGGGTGCCTTGGCTTGGGCCCCTACCTGTTGCTTCCAAAATACAGAAATTCTGGCAGTCACTGCAAGAGAGCCTGGTGCTCTTCTGGACTGAAAGACTGGTTTCAAGACCACTTGTGACCTCCACAACTTGGGGGTGCTATAGCCTGGAACTGTGTCCTCTAGCTTTGTCAAGGTTCAGGGCACAAGGAAGGTGTCTGGCTGTGAGTGAAGACCACACCAGATCCTTCGGGATCCTGTCCCTCAGGCAGCATGCAAGGCTCCCTCCACTTACAAACTTGGACAGCTCCTGCTCTGCTCCTTGGCCTGAGATTCTCTGAATAGTGCTCTCTGTCTACTGGGTTTGTAGTGATTAGAGGCTCCTGGGTGAATTGGAAGGAGAGAGCTAGGGTAGAAGCAAAGGAGTGCCTGTTTCCCAAGCTACTGCTCTATGCCATGGCCAGTGCTGGGCAATTTGACATCCCAACGTAACATTCCCATAGCCTTTCCAGTATAATCCCATGTAAACTGCCTCCCTTTACGGGCAAGGGTGTTGAAGTCTGTTACCAGGTTAAGCTTTGGTCATCCTGGCACAGCCTCTGCTTCACAGAGAACCAGGGCATCTGTGCAGTCCTGAGTCATAGCTGTGCAGTCCTCTGGTCCCTGCTCAGCCTGAGCCAGGAGCCCGAAGTAATGCTCATGGCCTGGTTTCTCCAGGAGCATTGTGCCTCTCCTCTCTACCTGAAGCAAATGCCCATCAGTTGTATCCAACCAGACTGCCTGGGGCTGAGCAGCAGACCACACTTTCTGCCCTAGAAGTCCTTTGAGAAGCCTGATGTGAGGCCTGGCCTCTGACAGCCATGCCATTAGTCAGAATGGAAGGCCTCATGTACTGTTGGTCAAGCCCTAGGAGGCAAGAAGGGCTGGGTCTGGTGAGTATCCAGCTTCATCTCAGGCTAGGGCAACCCCTAATGAAACAGGCCTTCCCAGTTGGTTGGTTTTCCCTAAATATAGACAAGTAGTGTCACCGGAGCTGCATTCAGTAGCCCAACTGCATCCAGACAGCTCTGGGCTGATAGAGAGCGAGCCACACACAAACCTCCTAGTCTGGAGAGAGGCCAGGCCACTGCAGGGGAGGGTGAAGCACCTTCCTACTCATGGGTATCCAATATGCAAGGACAAGGCTTGTGCTGGCACCCTGTTCTCCTGACAGAGTTAAGTGGCTTTGCTTGCCACCCAAAAAACTGTGTGGATTTCCCAGACTGGTCAATTCATAGGAAGATTGGTCTTCCTGATGCATGAAACCAGATCCTCAGAAAGTGCTTCCTCTGACCACTCTTCCATCTGCCTGCCCCATTTGTCTGCAAGAACCATCACACCAAACCCCTCTCCCTGCCAAAAGTCTCAAAAAGTGCTATCTGTGCTGAAAGAATCCACAAAGGGATGTCTTAAACATACCATTTTGATGCTACTGTTTTGAACAGGTCACTAGGAAAAGGATACTTGGTAGACATAATCATTACATACAAAGCAGTGGCAGAAACCATCCTCAGTCAATGCTGCTAGGATAAAAGTCTGCCTAGGAATCAAATCTTTATTGTAAAATTCACACACACACACACACACACACACACACACACGACTTGATCTTGGGAAGACTAATTTTGGCTAAACAAAACTGAAAGTGAAAAAAATCATAATTGGTTAACTATGAAATCAAGGAATTAAATTGGCTTAAGGGAATTCACTAAGGAAAATGGCAAAAACTTGTCAATATTAGTGTAATGGTCTATGTAAAAGCTCAACATCAAAATATTCTTAGGGCACCAATGGTAGAGCCAAGAACATCTTAAACCTTGTAGAGTTTGGAGTAGCACTGAAAGGGAGGTGAGCACTTGGTCTTCCACCTGCCCGGGCTAGCAGTGCTCCTGATCTCAGCTCATGGGGCTGCATCCTCTTTCTGAACTGTGCTATTAGGTTCAGGGTCTGTTCTTAACTCTCCTGTACTTTATCAGCAAGTGAGGGCAGTTTTTGCTTAACCAGGGAGAGTTCTCTCCAGGGAAAGGAGAAAAGTCTGGAGGAGTTGATCCCTGGGGCTGGGTTTTCACCTGGATACCTGGAGACAATCCCACCAGTAGTGAATGAAGGGATGGAGGTTGCAGTGGGGAGAAAGTAAGTGGGAGTTTGAGGATAGGCTCTGAGCTACAGAGCAGATAAGTTAGGAGCAAGTGTTTAGGACGGCTTATGGGAACTTGTGGGACTAGATGCAAAGCTCATCCCCTCTCTACTCACTACCTCCAAAATGCCCTGAGCACTGGGCTTTCCGAGACAGAGGACCTGACTGGGGGTGGGAGTGGAGAGTTCCTTAGGTGCAGTCCACCTGTGGCTTCTGTCTGTGTGGCATTGAGTCAAGTTGGCCCCATTAGTGAAGCCAGGAATGAGGACTAAGAATTGATTTATTCAATGCATGCTTATAGGGACGCCTGGGTGGCTTAGTGGTTGAGTGTCTACCTTTGGCTCAGGGTGTGATCCTGGAGTCCCAAGATTGAGTCCTGCATCGAGCTTCCTGCATGGAGCCTGCTTCTCCCTCTGCCTATGTCTCTGCCTCTCTCTCTCTCTCTCTCTCTCTCTCTCTCTGTCTCTGTGTGTCTTTCATGAATAAATAAATAAAATCTTAAAGGAAAAAACAATGCATGCTTACAGAGCACTGTTTTGTACCAAAAATCCTGGGCACTGGATGAGGATACAGTGAACAAGAAGAACAAGGTCCCCGTCCTTATGACCCATCCATTCCAATGGGAGAAGATTGATGATAAAGCAAGCAAACAAATGAGTGCAGTAATATTGGATGGTGGCAAGTGAGGTAAAGACAAAGAAACTCATAGTTCAAAAAGCTTACCCTGACAGCCATGTAAAGATTAGATTGTAGGGGGGAAAGCAGGAAGCACAAAGTACAGTTGGGAAGTGTGGCATCCTTAGGCAGAGAGGATAGTACCTTGGTCTAGGATGTTAGCTCTGGAGCTAGAGCAAAGTAGATGGGTTTGGATTATATTTAAGTCCTGGAGCTAATAAAATGGATATTCTATTAGTTGGGGCTGGGGGAAAGAGGGATTTGGGGTGTGGACTTGAGTAACTAGGTGGGTAATAGTGCTGTCCTTTGAGACTGAGAAAACTAAAAGGTATTGGAAGTGTGGGCACGTGTGAATGAAAAGTTCTGTTTTGGCTGTGTTGCATTTGAGATGCCCATGAGTCATCCAAATGGAGTCCAAATCAGTGGAGAGATCAAGCAGGGGCTACAGTTTGGGCCTCTTTGGTATACAGAGGATATTCAAATCACTTAGACTCTAGATCTTAGAGTGATGGCTCTCCAGTAGTGGTGACTTGCCCCCTTCTTCCAGGGGACATTTGGCAACATCTGGAAACATTTTTGGTTGTTACAACTGGTTTGGGGGGAGGTTTGCTATTGGCATCTCCTGGGTAGAGGCAAGGGATGCTGCTCAAGATACTGCTATGCATACCCCCACAGCACAGAGTTAGTTATCTGGCTCCAAATTCTAGTGGTGCTAAGGTTGAGAGCCTTTTCCTGGAGAGAGTGTAGATGGAGAAGGAAAGAGATGACAGCCCCAGGACTTAATTAATGTGAGGAGGTAGAGCCTTCTGCACAGAAGACTGAGTAGCAACAACCAGAGAGGTAGGGAAGCCTGGGGAGTAGACTGTCCTGGAAGTGGAGAGTGTTGGGAAGGAGGGGTGCTAAACTGGGCTGAATGCTGACAGACTCCATCCTTCGAGTACAGAGAGAAGTGGCTAATGGCTTAGGCAATATGGACATCGTTGATGACCTTGATACGAACAGTTCCTGTGGTTTGTTGGGTTAGAAGCTCCAGGGGAGAAGGTTGCATTTTTTCCCTGATTGGAATGTCTCATGTGTGTAATTTCATTCATCCACATGCAACCGGGAGGTTCTGTTATTCTGGTTTTATAGGAATGGCAATATTACCCCCATTTTATAGAGGTAGAAACTGAGGCACAGGGAGGCTACTTACTCCTCATGGTCAGGCAGCCAACTGTCAGTGAGAACAAAGATGAGTACAGAAGATGTTTGCCTGCTGGTAAGAATGATCCATGGGGAAGCTGAAATCAATGATGTTGGAGGGGAAACTGAGAACCAAAGTCTGAATTAGTGAGAAGGATCTGGGGACCATGTTGAGGGGTTTGGCCTTTCCCAGGAGCATTATACAGGTAACTCTGAAGTGGACCGTTGCTGTTTTGAGCAAGATTACCCCTAGACTCAACTTCTCTCCCACATACCCCCTGCTGGCCTCCAGAGGCTTGCTGGGCAGCTCTCTGTAGCCCCCACCCCTGATAAAGGGTAGCCTCCCTATGGGAAGCTGCTGCAGGGGCCCAGCCCTTCTGCTTTGTGGGGCACCAGGGAGGCTAATTACTCCCCATGGTCAGGCAGCCAACTGTCAGTGAGAACAGAGATGGGTACAGATGTTTGCCTGCTGGTAGGAATGATCCATGGGGAAATCTTTGGGGCACTAGAGACTGGATGTGCTCAGGAACCAGTATAGCAAGTAAAGGCATCCCTGTAGTCAGGAGCCAGAGGTGGCTGGGCAGTTCTATCAATACACATCTGTGATTTTCCCCCCAAATTTGACTGCCTCCAGCTTTATCCTAAGCCTAGAAGGCCCCACCCCAAGGTCTTTGTTCATCACTCTCTCCTTGTGGTTACCACACCAGCCTCTCTTAGACTCTCTCAAGTCCTGAATGTTCTTGTATTCTTCACCTTCTCTCCCTGGCTAACTTGTATAGCCTCTTGATTCAGGAGCCCCAGTTAGCAGTCACATCTCAGACAGCCTTCTCTAACAGCCCCAGCTAGAAGAGGACCTCCTGTTAGCTTGTCCTCCAACACTGGGTGCTGACTCTTTGGTGGCATTTTTCCTATGTATAATGTGTTTTTGGGTCCAATGTTTGTATTCCATGCTAGGCTGTAGTCTTCATGAGGGTAGGTCTAGTTTACCAGTTATTTCCAGGGCCTGGCATACAGTAGGTATTCAGTAATTATTTGCTGAAAGAGGAAATACTGACTATATTATGACTTATTTGGGGTTCCTGGGTGGCTCAGGTGGTTAAGCATCTGCCTTTGGCTCAGGTCATGATCCCAGGGTCCTGGGATCAAGCCCCGCATCAGCTCCCTGCTCAGAGGGGAGTCTCTTTCTCCCTCTCCCTCTGCCCATCCCCCCACCACTTTGTTCATGCTTGCTCTGTCACTCTCTCAAATAAATAAATAAAATCTTTAAAAAAATATTATGACTTATTTCGTATTTCTCTGGCTCTTACATGCTGTGTTTAACACTTTATTCTTCTTGACACACATATTTTACTACAAATTCTTAAGCTTTCCTGATCACTCACATGATTACTATCATTTTTAAAAAATGTTTTATTTATTTATTCATGAGAGACACACACATACACACACACACAGAGAGGCAGAGGGAGAAGCAGGCTCCATGCAGGGAGCCTGATGTGGGACTCGATCCCAGGATGCAGGATCATGACCCCAGCTGAAGGCAGACACTCAACCACTGAGCCACCCAGGTGTCCCTCATTTTTGTTTGAAGGTGTATAAAGGAGTTTAATACAATATCTTTGGCCATTCTTTAAAATAGAAAGAGGTACTAAGCTTGTACATTATTGATTCTTCCCAGTATAGGATGGCTGGTTTGGTTTTGTGTGAACCAACAGAACTTTACAACATCTTGAATCAGGTCACAAAACTTTCCCGATTGACTGAACCCAACTATCTCTGCTTATTGGGTAAGTACTCTAAAAAGCTATGTTTTGTTCAGTGTCCTTCAAATACTATTTTAGGTAAATCGACAAACTTAGGGGATTGAGGAATAAATGACTTTAGAAAACTGTTAGACTCATTTGACATAACTTAAAATGCTGCTGCTAATTGTCACCTGACTTGGAAATAACTCCAGATTAAATCTAGAAGTTCTTAGAAGACTTGTGTTCTTGTTCAATGGAACATTTCTTTTTTTTAAGAAAAACATTTATTTATTCATTAGAGACACAGAGAAATAGAGGCAGAGACATAGGCAGAGGCAGAATCAGGCTCCATGCAGGGAGTCCGATGCGGGACTGGAACCCAGGACCCCAGGATCATGACCTGAGCCAAAGGCAGATGCTCAACCACTCAGCCACCCAGTGGAACATTTCAACTATCTAACAAATATATAGTGATACTAACAAACGTCCACATACCCATCACTCAGATTTAACATAGTAAATCTGTTGTATCCCTCTTTTGTACCCCATCCCAATCCCATTGCTTCTCTTTCCCATAGATGATAGCTTCTGTATTTTCTACATTTTTATTGTACATGCAGGCATCTCAAAAATAATGTGTAGTTTAAACATTTACACAAATTGTACCATAATGTACAGTCATTCTGCAACTTGTTTTTTCTTGAAATTTTTGAGATTTCCTCCCTTCATATCTAAATGTGAAGATCTATTTTAACCGTTAGGGTAGTACCCATTCCTAATCAGTTGTGATGGGTTGCTTGCATTATGTTCCTGTTATGAACAGTGCTGCACTGAAGAACTTTATGCATCTCTTGCCCACATACAAGAGTTTCTTCAGAATATCTGCCTAGAAATGGAATTGCCAATTTGCGAGTTCTGCTTCAAAATGCCCTCCAAAAAGATTGTATCAATTTGCATTTCCATCATCAATGTAAGAAACATACCTACCAATACCTGCTTTTGTCAGCCTTTAAAATTTCTGCAGTCTGATTGGTGTGAACTTGTGATGTTTTCTCCTCCAATTAAAAAAATTGTGGGGATCCCTGGGTGGCGCAGCGGTTTAGTGCCTGCCTTTGGCCCAGGGCACGATCCTGGAGACCCGGGATCGAGTCCCGCGTCGGGCTCCCTGCATGGAGCCTGCTTCTCCCTCTGCCTGTGTCTCTGCCTCTCTCTCTCTCTCTGTGACTATCATGAATAAATAAATAAAATTTTTTAAAAAATTGTGATAAAATCCACATAACATAAATGTGCCATCTTATCCATTTTTAAATGTACAGTTCAGTGGTGTTAAATATGTTCATAATGTTATACATTATGCATTATGTGCATTGCTTTCCATCTCCATAACTCTTCATCTTGTAAACTCTAAAACTCTATACCCATTAAATACTACTTGCCCCTTCCTCCCATCCCTTAATCCCCTGGAAATCACCATTCTCCTTTCTGTCTCTATGATTTTTGACCATTATAGGTCATGTAAGTGAAATCATACAGTATTTGTTTTTTTTTGGCTTGTTTCATTGAGCTTCATAAGGTCCTCAGGTTCATTATGTTGTAACATATTGCAGAACTTTCTCCCTTAAGGTTGAATAATATTCCTTTGTATGGATATACCACATTTTGCTTATCCATTTAATCAGCAAATATTTGGGTTGCTTCCATATCTCAGTTATTGTGAATGATGATGGGTGTACAAATACCTCCGAGACCTTGCTTTTATTTATTTTGGGTGTATAAACCAGAAATGGAATTGTAAGATCATATGGTAATTCTATTTGTAATTTTTTGAGGAACTGTTGTATTATTTTCCATAGCAGCTGTGCCATTTTACATGAGCACAAGGGTTCACAAGTTTCCAGTGTCTCCACATCATTGTTGACACTTGTTGTTTTCTGTTTTTTGGGGGGATAGGAATCCTTCTAATAGGAGGGAGGTAGTATCTCATTATAATATTGATTTGCATTTCCCTAATGATTAGTGATGTTGAGCATCTTTTCATGTACTTCTTGGCCATTTGTGTATCTTTGGAAAAATATCCAAGTCCTTTGTCCATTTTTTAAAAATATTTTATTTATTTATTCATGAGAGACAGAGAGAGAGAGAGAGAGAGAGAGAGAGAGAGAGAGAGAGAGAGAGAGGCAGAGACACAGGCAGAGGGAGAAGCAGGCTCCATGCAGGGAGCCGGACATGGGACTCAATCCCGGATCTCCAGGATCAGACTCTGGGCTGAAGGTGGCGCTAAACCGCTGACCGCTGAGCCACCAGGGCTGCCCTCCTTTGCCCATTTTTGAATCAGATTTTTTTTTTAAACTATTGAGTTTTAGGAATTATCTACATATTCTGGGTATTAATCCCTTATCAAGATTTAATTGTCATGAAGTTCAGTTTATTTTTTTTCTTTTGTTCCCCATCCCTTTGATGTCCAGGAAATCATTGCCAAATCCAATGTCCTGAAGACTTTGCCCTGTTTTCTTCTAACAGTTTATACTTTTAGGTCTTACATTTAGGTCTTTGATCCCTTTTGAATTAATTTGTGAGTTAAAGTGTTGTTAGTGTGGTGTGAGATAAAGGTCCAAGTTCATTCTTTTGCATGTGGATATCCAGTTCTCTCAGCACCATTTGTTGAAAAGATTGTCCCATTCTCAGTCTCTTGAAGATTCCATATGAATTTTAAGATGGGTTTTTCTTTCTATAAAAAAAGCCCTGTAATGGGGCACGTATGTGGCTTAGTGGTTGAGCATCTATCTTTGGCTCAGTTTGTGATCCTGAGGTCCTGGGATCAAGTCCCACATTGGGCTTCCTGCAGGGAGCCTGCTCTCCCTCTGCCTGTGTCTCTGCCTCTCACTCTGTATCATATATATATATATATGATATATATGATATATATATGATATATATATATATATACACACACACAGCCTGGGTGGCTCAGCGGTTTAGCTCCTGCCTTCGGCCTGGGATCCTGGAGACCCGGGATCGAGTTCCTCGTCGGGCTCCCAGTAGGGAGCCTGCTTCTCCCTCTGCCTGTGTCTCTGACTCTCTCTCTCTCTCTCTCTCTCAAGAATAAATAAATAAAATCTTTAAAAAATAAATAAAATATTTATTAAAAAAATCATTGGGATTTGGTAGATAGTACATTGAATCTATAGATTGCTTTGTATAGTGTTAACATCTTAACAACATTGTTTTCCAGTTTATGAACCCAGAATGTTTTTCCATTAATTTGTCCTTTAGTTTCTTTGAGCAACATTTCATAGTTTTTCAGTATACAAGTCTTTCACCTCTTCAGTTAAGATAATCTTATATTTTATTTCTTTTGACATTATTGAAAATGGAATTATTTTGTTAATTTGTCAGATCATTCATAATTAGTGCACATAAATACAACATTTTTATATGTGTTGACTTAGTATCATGCAGCTTTGATGAATTCATTTATTCTAAAAGTTCTTTTTCTTGGTCAAATCTTTAGGGTTTTTCATGGATAAGATCATATCTGCAAACTGAAATGATTTTGCTTTCCAATTTAGATGCACTTTATTTAGTTTTCTTGCCTAATTGCTCTGGCTAGGACTTCCAGTGTTACTTTTGAATAAGTGTAAAAGTCTGAATCCTTGTGTTTTTCTTGATCTACAGGATATGCCTTCAGTCTTTCACCACTGAGTATGATGTTTGTTGTGGATTTTTCATATGTGGTTTTATTATGTTGAGGTAGTTTTTTATTCCTATTTTGTTGGATGTCTTTATCATGAGAGTGTACTGAATTTTGTCAAATGCTTTTTTCATCACTTGAGATGATCATATAGTTTCTTTCCTTCATTCTGTTGATGTGGTGTATAACATCGACTTTGGGATATATTGGACCATAATTGCATTCCAGGAATAAATCCTACTTGGTCATGGTGTAATTGATGTAGGAGAATATATATGTTAATTATAATAATATGGAATATAGTCTATCTATCTATCTATCTATCTATCTATCTATCCGTCTATCCGTCTATCTATCTATCAATCCATCCATGAGAGACACAGAGAGAGACATAGGCAGAGGGAGAAGCAGGCTCCTCACAGGGAGCCTGATGTGAGACTTGATCCCCGGGCCCTGGATCATGTCCTGAGTCAAAGGCAGACACCCAACGTCTGAGCCACCTACATGCCCCTGGGATACAGTTTAAAGCCTTCTCTATAAATAAACACCCTATATAGATTCAGCCTTAAAGTTAGAGTGGTAGAGTGGTCTATTGAAAGCTTTTATTTGCTGGGAGATTGTTGATTATTGGTCCAGTCTTCTTACTGGTTATAGGTCTACTCAGATTTTTTTTTCTTTGTGATTTGGTCTTGTAGATGTGCATTTCTAGGAATCTTTTTTTTAAAATTTTTATTTATTTATGATAGTCAGAGAGAGAGAGAGAGAGAGAGAGAGAGAGAGGCAGAGACACAGGCAGAGGGAGAAGCAGGCTCCATGCACTGGGAGCCCGATGTGGGATTTGATGCTGGGTCTCCAGGATCGCGCCCTGGGCCAAAGGCAGGCGCTAAACCGCTGCGCCACCCAAGGATCCCTAGGAATCTTTTTCTTTTTGTTTTTTTTTTTTTTTTCGTTTCTAGGAATCTGTCCATTTTATCTAGGTTATCTATTTTGTTGATATATAGTTAATTGTTCATAGTTCTCTCTTACAATCTTTATTTCTGTAGAATCAGTAGTAATATCCTTATTTTCATTTCTGACTTTAGTAATTTGGATCTCCTCTCCCCCCTCACTGCTTTAGTCTATCTAGCTAAAGGTTTGTCAATTTTGTTTATCTTTTTAAGGAACCAACTTTTGGCTTCATTGATTGATTTTTTTTTTTTGTTTTTCTGTTTTTTTCAAGTAGGCTCCATGCCCAACATGGGGCTTGAATTCACAACCCTGAGATCAAGGGTTGTTTGCTCTACTGACTAAGCCAGGCAGGTGCCCCAGAGGTCTAAGTGAGTTTAAATTTGTATCTGCACTCATATGCAAA